CAGGTCGTGGCCCTCCTCCACGTGACATCCCCTCACACACGTATAGGTCGCTAAAAGATCCCTTCAGAGTTTCCTCTTCTCCAGGCTGAAAAGACCCAGTTCCCCCAGTCTCTCCTCATATGTCATCCCTCCCTACCTGGCTACCATTCTTGTGCCCCTTAGAATTGAACCAATTCTAACTGAGCTATAGATCTCCTACAATATGGAGCCCAGGACAGGATTATTATTATTATTATTATTATTATTATTATTATTATTATTATTATTATTATTATTATAACATTTCTATGCCGCCCCTTGCCGAAACCTCGGGGCGGCTTACAACACGATGCAGTGCTCCAGTTATGGGTGCACCAGAGTTGTGTAGAGCAGTATCAACACTTCCCTAGATATGGAATCCACACTTCAGGCTATACATCCAATGGTGGCATTGGCTTCTTAACCACCACATCATACTGCTGGCTCATGTTCAGCCTGCTGTTCACAACTGCCTTTCACAAGTGTTGCTCTCCAGTCACTTGTCTGTCAAGAACTTATGCAGCTTCAGGGCTCCCTCTACTGGCCAAGGGCAGGTGGAGCAGCTCTGGTGTTTGCAGGATTGTGTCCTCAGTCCACTGCAGCTGCCAGGGCTATCATGAGTTCCACCTGGAGAGCCCTGGGGAAGAGCTATATAAGAACCAGCTCTTCCCCTCAGAAGCTGCCTTGGCAACAAAAGTCTTCTGTGGTTAGTGAAGCCCTTCCTGGTCTGTTAGACCGGGAACTCTGCTTGAGTGTCCTGCCTGTGCCTCTTCTCTCCCTGACTGGTCTGCCTTCCTCGGTTCTCTGACTCCTGGCTCACTTTGGACTATGGTACCCATCTCTATGGACTTGCCTGGTACATTGACCTCCAGCTTGACATTTGACTGTGTACTGGACTTGCTCTTGCCGTGCCCTGTCTGCCTGGGTCTGGGCGCTTTCACCCTGTTAGTCAGCCACCCTCGCCCTGGATGCTGATATTGCCCCCCATTCTGTATTGTCCCCCTATAGTGACACCCATTCCTATGTCCCAAGTGCAAGACTTTGCACTTCTCCCATTTTCCATGAGGCCTCAAAAATGTAGGCCATCAGATGCAAGAGCACCACTGTCAATTCCTGAAGTACCCTCAGGTGCATCCCATCAGGGCCTAGTGCCTTTGTAACATCTAGGGTGTTAGGATCAGAGTCTGGTTGGACCTGCAAATGTCTTTGGGGCCAGGTGCTCCTCTGAGGGCCAACAGCTGGGAAGCAATCATGCACTACAGCTGAAGGTCCTGGAGACATAAATAAGATGCCTTTGCACCTCTGAGCTTTGCTACAGCAGTGCAGGTGGCCCCCAGGACCCTTTGTGCTTTGGCTCCAAAAAACTCTGTGCCTTGTTCCTGCAGTTCCCACCCCTCCTCCTCTGAGTAGACCCTGCCTCGCTCCAGCCTGTGCCCTTTCAGCTCTTCCAGTCCTTCCTCTGAGGAGACACAGCTCCAGTTGCTCTTACCTTTGTGGCAAGGACTTATCAGTAAAGTGACCTTGGAATTGTGCTCTGACACACTCTCTCATTTTGTGCATGTGAACAGTGACTGCTTTCCTCTGTGCTTTTGACCTGGATCTGCTGACTTGTCTCCAGTCTCTGGCCCCATAGCGAAACTCCAGACTCTGAGCTAGTGCCCTGGACCCGGTGTTCAGTCCATCCCTTCTGCTGGTCGTGGCCTGTCCCTCACACAGGGTCCTGAGGAGCGCCTCGACTTCTAGTGAGGTGACTCCCATCTGTGCCCCCATAACCCCAGCCTCATCTAGCCCCCCAGGTAGATCTCACCCCACCCACTTTGGGGAGAACACAGAAGCAAAATAATCACTTAACACCTGTGCCTGTTCCCTTACATCAGTTATCAGATTCCCTCCCTCCCTCCCTTTTAAGTGGTCCCACTGCCTGTCTCCCCTTCTTCTCCCCATTTATATGAAGGCAGAAGCCCTTTTTGTTGCTCTTGACATTCGTCACAAGTCGGCTCCTAATCTGCCTTAGCTTTGCAAAGAATCCTCCTGCGGCATGCTGCCTCTTCTTGGGAAACGCTTTTGTCCAGTCGCCTCAGGGTTCCTTCTAACCCCGCTTACCACCTCTCTTGGCATCCTTGGTGGTGCCCTCCTATGCCCCCCTGCTTTGCTAATCAGTGGTAGCATTAAGGCTTGAGCCTCCAAGACCTCCCTTGTTCCTGAACAACCTGCTTTCCAGTACCCTCAGGGGGCTTCCCCCAGCCTGGCCTTCAGTTGACTGAAGTTGGCCCTCGAGAAATCTCTGCTCCTAGTGCTTGACCTACTGCTCTTCCCCGTTCCCTTGATCTCAGAGCCAAGGATGGAGTGGTCACTTGCACCCAAAGCTTCCCTAATCTATGCATCATCCACCAGATCCTCCCTGTTGGTCAGAACCAAGTCCAGGATGTCCCCCCCCCACCCCCTTGTCACCTCCTGGCCCTCTGTGTGAAAAACCCATTGCTTCCCAGAAGCGATGAGACCTGGCCGCCGCTGCCAAGCGCATCTCCCAAATATCAGGGCAGTTGTAGTCTCCCATTATGACAGTGTCCCTTCCCTGGGATACGCTTCCAGTCTGGTCTATCAGAGCATCACCCAGGGGCTCAGATTGACCTGGTGGGCCATGACATACTTCCACTATCAGATCCTTGGCCACCTCCAGACCTGGCAATCTCACTGCCTCTCCCTGATCCCCTTCTACCCCGCTCCCCATCTCATTGCACCGTATCCCTTCCTTAACTTGTAGTACTGCATCTCCTCCCCTCTTTCCTTTCCTGTCCTTCCTAAAGAAGACACAACACTGGAGACATTTGCGAAAAGGAGCTGAAAAGTATTTGGCTTTTGGAGAGGGGTGCTATAATTTTACAGGAAGGCAGATCTTCCAGTTGTTTTAGACTTCGACTCCCAGCTGACCCCACCAGTCAGGAATGGTGGGAGCTGAAGTCCAAAACATCCAGAAATCTACTGACTGTCTATTCTTTCTCTAACAGACTGTCTTCTACCTTGAGCAGCCTTTCCAGTCTTTCCTGAGCATTCCTGGCACCTTTAGCTACCTTTGTTTGCTGGTACTGGGCTGCCTTTGCTTTCAGTAAATTCTACATGGCTCCCTTAGTAGATTTTACACCAAATGGCTCCCTTAGTAGATTATGTATTACAAGTCTTGGTGTCACAGTGCCCTCTTGTGTTTACTGTTGTTTGCAGAAAGGACTTCTGTTATTTAATCTGGCCTTTATTCATCCGGCAGTACATACCCATTTTGGCAAGGTTGGGTCTATTTCTGGGGCAGAGTACAGTTCTCTCTCTTTTTTGCGTGACCTGTGTCAAGATTCAAAGGTTTGTGCATGAGAGAAAGAAAATTGGAGACTTTGGGATTTGGGGGACCGAAAATTGTCCAGCTTTCAATGGGACTGAGGTGTTATTTACAGCTTTCCAAGTTTTGCAGTTTTCTTTCTACCTGCCCTGCTTTTGTTGAGCTTTAGAACAGCCAAGTGTTTCTGCAAGTAGCAGGTTGTAGTTTGGCAGCTGCATGAAAATTGAGATGAGAGGAAGTGGTAGGGTGGCCATGTATCCTACTTTAGAGGGGACAATCCTCTACTTCAAAGGGCTGTCAGAGGACCCATTTCTCTTTCTGTAGCGGGGACCCAATTTCAGCCTGAGGGCCAAATTCAGCTTTCAAGGAGGTTTTGCAGAGAACATCCAACTGGTTGGCATGACCAAAGGCAGAATGAGTGGGCCAACATGGGAAAAAAAACACCACCCTATATTTAGCTGGAAGCTCCTGCGGACAGAAACTAAGCCTCAGGAGAGGTATTTCAAGCTTCTAGAATGGGGACAAAATACAAAAACTGGGATGCCATCAAATGATTGGCAATTAGGTCCAAATGTTACAACCCTCTGGAGAACCCTAGAGGGATAGGTTGGATCCCAGCAGGTCTGCATTTGAATGATTTGATTCTGGGGTTCCACCGTTCTACTTTCTTTGAAGGATAGTCTAGTTCAAATCTGGTTAAAAGCAGGGGTTTGACTGATTCTCTGGGACTCCAGCACAGACTGTGATCACTCCAAAACAGTATTGGTTTTCCATTTTTAAAAAGGCTATCTTACGTGGATTTGTTTCAAATGTATAAGGTTATACATGGGCTTCAAGAAAAGTGGACCAAATATCTGAATTAATATCCAACTGAAGACAGTGTCTATATGTTACATATGTCAAAAGTTGTAGAAGGTCCTCAATTGTATTTTAGGAGGTCCATATTACTTCATCCAGCTTGTAATATCAATCTTTTAGCTGTCAAAAGGAAATCCCTCTTCCCTTCCATTTGTTAATTTCCATGAAGCTGGTAAATAATTAAAAAAAACACACAGTAGTGAATATTGAAGAGTGTTTCAGTACAAAATGTTTCTGTGCATAACTTCCCCCTCCCTGAAAAAAGAAGCAACTTGAGCAAACCGGTTTTTAAAAGAATTAACTGTATTACACCACTACTAGTTGAATTAGACCATCACTTATTAAAGAGACATCGTGAAGTTCAGTAGACACAAAATATTTTTTTGCTGAATAAGATGCAGGTGAAGATTCACAGATGAAACAGACTGAAACCACTGATCAAGCATTATGCAGTGGGCTCCACAACAGTTTCCTTCATGTATTTGTATGTATTTTCCAGTGTGTATTTAAAAATGCTCAGTGTTTTGCAGGTAGCATTTTAGCTTGGATTTGCATGGCCTTTGACCATAGATCCTGGTCAGGCTCTGTTTGGTTGCAGGGGGTGTGAATGAATGCATTCTGATAAAAAATGAACTGAAATGAATTTTGCATGCATACCCGGCCACATTTGTGCATCTTGATGCCATAGCATTTTGGCAGGAGCCAAATCCTGTCCATACCTGCCCCATACCTGCCTCTCTGTGCCAAAAAAGCAAAAAGAACAAGGAAGGAAAAAGAATCGATGCTGCAATGCATGTCATTTCCACAGGACTTTATTTTTACTGCTCAAATACAAGCAAATAGGACACCATAGGCCACATAACATGACTCTAAGGGCAGTGAGGCAGCCTAAGGCTCCCTCAGCTTAATGTTGGGATTTGCCATCTAGGAGAATCCAGTTTTATGGCTTCTGAAAGCCAGTAAGGATGGATGGAGGGAAAAAGAGCCCCTCTTCTACTCTGAAGTTTGCTTACCTCCAGGTGACACTTGGAGCTAACTTTGAGAACATGAGGTGTTGTAGGCATTTGGAGCATTACAGCTGGACCTCTGCAGGGCAGGAGTGGTGGAAACTCAGGGATACCAGAACATGAAAGATGGCCCATAAATGCACCAGCCCTCCACTCATGGCTTCTGCTTCAACCTGAGGGAGTTGTCCAGGGTGGCCAACTGGCGCAGGAAACCCCGGTTGGGGATGATGCCCCGGTGATCCTTCACGGTCTTTATGGCCTCCACCAAGGTCAAGTGGTGGTAAATCATGAGGTAGGCGAGGACCAGGGTGGCTGATCTGCTCACCCCCACAGCACAATGGACGAGGATCCTCCCTGTGGGAAGAAGAAAAAAGATTTCAGAAGATGTCTTCTCAAACATCAGCCAAGGCCTTTTGGCTCCAGTAAATCAGGTGGTGGAGTGTGCATCTCTCCAAAAATCTCTTCCTGAATACCACTCTAAATGCCCCCAACTAACATCAGGCCCTGAAATGCATGCTTAATTTCCCATTTCATCTGGTATGGGGCACTAGGACATGGACCACATCATCATGCCCTAAAAGAAGTCTGCATTCATCGGGGCCACTTTTAGGACCAAAACAGATCCATAAGTAACATTGCAGCTTGAGCCTCTGAACTGGCTCTAAAGAAGGAGTGAAGACAAACATGAGTTGGGTTATTAAGGTCTGATTTGGTTTGACTGAAAAAAACTACACCCCAGTCTGGCAACGGGTAAAGCAGTGGTGTTCCACCTCAGGCTTGTTGGTCAAATTTGGCTCACTTGGGGTGCCAATCCTATTCCTTGTGATTCCTCAGGAAGCCTTACCCCTTTCCTTGGGTCCCATACCCTTTTCCATCACCACCAATTTGCGTGGTGGTTTCTGGGTTTTGCAGTGTGTTTCCCACCCCCTAAAGGGCTGGAATACCAGTCCTAAGGCTCAGTTATTGGTTAAGGGCGAAATAACTGTGTTCTGTATGTTTAGACAATTCCCAGCAGCCTGCAGCCAGCATGGAAGTGCTCATATGGCACATCCTTGTGGTGGGCAAGGCCAAAGGCAATAAAGGTGAGGCCACAAAACAAAACAAAATAATGACTGGCTGGGCATGCTGGGAAATGTAGGACTTTTTCTATCTAAGAATGCACAAGATAGTGCTTAGCAGTTGCCACATATCTACCATTTTTGATATTTTGGGCATTTTGCTCCTCACTCTTGCCTTTGCTCCAGCCACCAATGGAATCCAGCCCTCCAAGACTTTCTCCACAATGGAATTCAGTCCTCAAGCTGAAAAAGACTTGACATCCCGGAAAGCTGCCCCTCCGACTCCTCACACAGACCCACCTGAACTCCTGCTCAACGCTTTATGGATGAAGTCAGCTGCAGGCTGAAAGTAGGGGCTCATGTCGAAGGTGGGTGAATCGTGTGCCTCAATGCCCAGGTAGCAGATGCCCGTGCCCTCGTAGTAATCAGCGCCTCCCCGCCACTTGCTATGGGAAGCATTGAGGATATGGGTGATGTTCAAGCGTGCCAGCTCACGACGGTTGGCTGCTATATCTCTGCATTGGGGAGAGGAAGAGGAAGGTTCATTACCACTCCATCTGCATGCTCATCTCAGGCCTGGTAGACATTGCTCTTGCTCTAACATCTGGTGGACAGTATTACTGCTGCCTGGAGAACATCAACACGACTTTGCATTCGTATCCTGACTTTTTCCTCTTGTGAGGAACCCAAGATGGCTTGCATAGCTTCATTTTATCTTTACAGCTACCCTGTGAGGTAAGTTAGCCTAGGAGTAAGTGACTGGCCCATGGATGAACCTGGATCTCCAAGGTCCTCAGTCCAGCACTCTAACTACCACGCAATGTGGCTTTTCAGCTTTCCTAGTGGTAGAATATGTGGGTATCATGTTAGCAGTGGTGTAGTGGAGCCAGAGCTAACAGGGGTGCAGCACTAGTACTTTTTTAGTAGCAGGACTTGGACATAGTCTGCCATTTGCAACCCCTCCAGAGTTTCCTGTTTGCTCCACGCTTAGTCGAAATCTGGACAGTAGCTGCAGAAGGAGAAATGAATTTTCCTAGCAACACTATAGTTTTCCATTGTGATGTAAAGTGTTTTGGTCTTGAATGGCCAATCAAGACTCTTTAGCTTTTACAAAAATCCTCCTACTGGTGAAGATGGAGATCATTAAATCCCGCAAGAGGGAAGCCCCCATTTGCATCAATAACAGCTTCTTTCCTGTTGTAAATGGCTTGTTGGTTGGGGAAAAGAGTGTGGCATAAGGGGTAAGTCTCAGATTCAGAAACTCCACTTTGGGGATAAATTGGACTCTCTGGGGTTTTCCAAGCATTTATTTATTATTTATTTTATTTAAAGCTTCTATATGCTGTCCCATAACTAAAAGTCTCTGGACGGCTTACTAATCATTCAATCATTACCCAGTGCTTGTGCAGTCTCTTTCCCAGTCTAAACAGGCGAACTGCCTCTCTTATGGCTTTCTTTCTGGCAGGAAGAGCTTGAAGTGCAACGAGGCAGGCATTTTTGGCATGTTCAGCACCACCCTCCTGGCCTACTCACAATTGGAACAGTGACTGAGTTCCTCCAAAGTGGAATTCGTCCCTTGGGCTGAGAATACCCTGCCTCATATCCCGTGACTTGAGTCCTGAATGCCCCTTGCCCCCGTGACGTGGATGCAGCTGCCCTTTCTTGTGAGCCACCCTCCGCGTGCTGCAGGAATAGGGCTGGGACGCCAGCATCTGGGCTTGTACGTACTGATCTCCCAGGTAGAGTCCCGGCCAGACTTCGTCAGCATGGTTGCAGGCAGTCTTGCCTGTGTACAGTAGCCTCTCTAGCTCAAAGACGCTGAGGATGGGGTGGCTGATGGTGTCATCATGAATCTTCCGGACTGGAGCCTGGGAAGATGTATTCCGGGAGAACCGGGACATGAAGGCCATGGGTGATGCACAGCCCCCTGTCGCATCCCGGTCCTCTTGAGGGGGCTGGGCAGAGGCCGGGACAAAATGTCTGCTGTGACCACCACCCACGGTCGGTTTCTAAGCTGGAAGAGAAGAAGGGAAGGTATCAGCAAAGCCACATCAGAGCCTGGGATCCCATGTAAGAGGCAGCTCCTAAGGCCTTTGCATTTGGTGCCTCCATCCAGATCCTGTAAGCAAGGGGGAGGCCTTTATGGTCCGGAGCACTAAAGTTCAAAGCAGGGATGTTGAACCTTTTACATCCAGAGGGCTGCATTCCATCTCGGGGCCTGCAGACTGGTGATGAGCAGAGCCAAAGGCACAGGCCAAGGCCAGGCGCAAAAGGTGCAGGGACAGAATTACAAGTATAAATCTCTTGCCGCCTGAGCAGAGGCATTTCAGAATGCAGGTGGGGCAGGGCAGAATTAACCCCCAACCTCTGCATCTCTAACAAGCCATTTCTCTTACCCTTCTACCTCCCTGGGGTTTTATGTTTTTCTTTTCCAACTGACAGTCAATGTTCTGTACAATTTTTAAGGCAAGGTGGTACGTGACTTTTAAGTTTTACCTATTGCCGTGTGCTTCTACAAGCTTTGGGGTTCTCTGGACCACATTGCTATTTCCCGCTTGTCTCTCCATGGCCTACTTTTGGCTCTAGTCCTCTCAGCCTTCACCCTCTGAGTTCACAATTAAAGTTGACAGTTGTCACAGACTGTACCTTTTGCACCAATGCTTCTGCCACACTCAAATGTGTGAGTTTTTACCAGGACACAATCACCCCACTGGAAACTGTTAGAAATGGAGGGCTCATGTAGTTCATTAAAACAAGATAAAGGGGGAGGCCCCACCATCAAATTTGGATGTGAGGAAAGGGGTGTTTGTTGGGATGGGAAACAATGCTTCTTTAGCATCTATTCCTGCTGATAACCTCACATGGTATGAAGGATGACGCTGATTCTTTGAAGCAATTTAGCCTTTTCATCAAAGATATTATTTCAGCTGTATAACATCATACAAAGTCCTCCTATCTTCAAAACGCACACACACACAAGCATGCACACATAATAGGCATCGTACACCCTATTGGCACCTGGTGCTAAAATTGTGCTTAACTGCAAACAGTACCTATTTGGCTAACAAACTCTATATCTTACTGGCAAATCAAATCATAGGACATCTTGGAGAAGACTGGTGAATTTGAAGGTTCCTGACTCTGAGCAGAGCAGAGCAGGCTGCCCCAACTGGGACCAGGGTGAGCAAACAGGCGATTGGTGGAGGAGGAGTTGTATAGGAAGAGGAGACCGAGGCAGGCCGAGGCAAAGCAGAGACAGGTCTGCAGTAGCCCAGCCGAACCTCTTTTGTTTTTCTAAGAGACAATTGAAGGGATGTTCCAGATTAGCTGGTTCCTGATGCTGATTCACTGAAGGGGAGTGGCCTGATCAGCTGGCAGCCGTTGTGTGGGTGGGGTGATTCATTCCGGTTCCTGACTCCTGGCGGGGCAGGGAAGGGCAGAGCAAGCTGCCCCAGCTGCCCAGGGGCCTTGGAATATAAGCAGCCAAGCTCTCAGGGAGCAAAGGAGCAAAGCAAGCAACAAGGAGAGCAAACAGCACTTTGGAGGAGGGCCCTAACATTTCCCTGCCTCTTTGTTTTTCTTCTTTATTTCATCTTAATCCCCCCCCACACACACACACTGCTTCCTTGTAACACATGCCCATTTACTGATAGCACTGTGTTGCTAACCTTTAGTGAAGACGTGCAAAAACACTAGTTGTCACAAAAGCCTTCCCAGAGGCAGAATCACTAAGGCTGCACAAACATGGGCCAAAGAGGCCCCACAGTGGTGGTGGCCTGCACAGCCGCATACGAGCAGCGCTGTTGCAGGAAATCGTGAGAGCGCCGGGGCAGTGGAAGAGTCAGCAAAGACAGCCTTCAATTTGGAACCCTTTCCAGGGAAGGGTTCTCCGGTCCAAGTCTGGTTTAAAATAGATCATTGGATTGTTGTTGTTGTTGTTGGTTTGTGTGTGTGTGTGTGTGTGTGTGGGGAGGGGATTACCCTACATCGGTTTGCTCTTGGGACAAAATTTAAACCTGTTTTCTGTTCAATAAAGCTAACAGAATGGTTTCAGGCACTAACCTCCAGCTCCATGTGCCCTGATAGGCAATCAGACATTCCGCTTGGGGTTCAACGAATTAGTGTTCACAAAGGAAGGCAGGCGAATGGCATTTTCTTTGGCTTCTGGGCTGGCCAGACTGAAGTGATCAGGATGGCCAAGGAAGGCAGCTGCTGCTTTCTTTCAAAGCACTTTTGCCAGCTCAGGGTTGCCAAGGGTAGAATAGTAATGAGAAGAGCTGGCAGGTGCTAGGTGCTTTGGACAGAGAGCCAAGGACATGGGGAGAGGGAGAAGAGCAGGGCGTTTTCCCTCTGGTGTTGTGCCCATTGCATACCAGTGGGAAGAAACAGTTCCCCATGGGCCTGCCTGCTGCTCATAGGGCAGGGGTGCTGAACCTGCATCAGAAGTTCATTATGGTGATGCTCTTGAGGGGGGAGGTACATTCCAGAGGCAGGCACAATTAGAGTGGCAGGGCTAGAATGCCCACAGTATTTTAGCGTCACATGGTTACTGCAATCTCCTAAGTCAGCCTTAGGAGAGGCATTTCTGAGTGAGGAAAAGAGCTGGGGAGCCTTTGCACAATCAGAGGTTGGGGGAACAGGGTCTGCCCTCTAGGGAACCTCCATCAGATCTGGTTTCCCAGCAGGCTAGATTTGCCTGCCAGGTTGGAGGTGCTGCTCCTCTGCTTTAGGGGCACCTCTGCTTTCTCAGCAGGAGGTCATAAAGATCATTTTAAGGGTCTGCATTACATTCCAGGGAGCAAAGCAGATCCCCTGGGGACCCTCCAGTGCTCCACTGAGCAGGAACCATCGTTTCTTGGAAAGGGGACAAGTTCAGTCCTTGGCGCAGCTGGTCAAAAAGATCAGGTAGCACAGAAAGCCAGGAAAAAGTCTATCAATCACAGTAGATGATGCTGAGCTAGATGAATGAACCGTTCACCTTAGTACAAGGCAGTCTGCAATACAATTAGTTTCACTTTCCAGATTTTCAGAATCAGGAGTGCTTTCACTTTACTTCTGGGGACATCCAAGTGAGGCATAATTTGGCTCAAAATTCACCTGGGCCACCGTCCCATATCTTAGAATGTAGGAAGTCATCTTAAAGAAAGAAAGATGACTCCATGAGAATGTGTAGCATTCTGTTCCCTGGCCACATAGTAACCACAATCAAGCCTCCGTAAGGGAGATTGGGCGTCTCTCTTTTAGAACGAACACCAGGAAAATACCACCATTGTTCATGACAATCAATTTGATTGTCTCCCCTCCCTTCCCTGGTGTTCTCTGTACTTGCCAGGAGTTCCTTTCTGAATGCTGGGTGATATTCGCATATGCAGCTTCCCAGCTCTGTTCCTCTATCCCTTTCACATTGAGGGGGACTGGTGGCCTCATCCATGTCTAACAGTGCTAAAAGACTGGAAATGGCAGCATGCCATCGGGGAACCAGTTCTGGGAAGGTGTGAGAATCACACCAGTTAGGCCAGGAACACAAGTCACTGCCTTCTAGGAGGAAGGGATGTCAGAGAAATCCACAGCTAGTTCCAGTCAGGTTTGATTTCTCTGAATCTGGCCTGTGAATACTGCAGGGAGCTTTATTTCCCAAGCTGCACAAATGGAAGATGCCCAGCAATCCACAACAGCAACAGGAGCAAGTCAGACCATTTTTTTTGGTCAGGCTCTCTGTTGCTTATTTTGACTGGCAGCATCTCTCTAGCATCTTAAGCAGAGTATTTTCTTCATCTACAGCTGTTAGCTTCAGGATGTAAACAGTAGGTTTCCATAACTTGGAGCACAAGAATGATGGGGACTGATGGAGAACAAGAGAGAATCAGGAAAAGGTAAGGGACAGATATCCAACACCGCATGGCAGGACCAGGCATGAAGGCAAAGTCAGAATCCCAACAAGATATGGCATGACGCAGGCAGAGTCAAGAGTGGGCAAGTGACAAGGTAGAGATGAAGGTATTGTAGGCCTAGAGGGTGATACCTGAGCCAGAGCACAAAGCAGCAAAACAAAGACTTCTATTAAGTTAGGCAGGGCTCAGCAGCCTTGGATAACCCCTCCTGCAGCTTCCAGCTGAGTTCCATGACTTCAGTGGTTTTAAGCACCCACAGGCCTGATAGTAGTTGCAAACTGAATCGAGATACTGTACCTGCTCTAGCCAGACACCAGGAGGATCCGGACAGTCGCAGCCCGACTGAGTGAACCTGGGGTCTTTTCTAGGCACACCGTGTTCCCTACCACTGAATCAAGGTTGGGCCTCCCATTTGGCTCGCTGAACATCTGATCTCAGGCAGCTGATTGGGAGAGTGAGTGGAACAGCGACCACGTGTGCTCTTTTTGAAGGTGTCCTCTGTTCAAAGTGCTGTCCATCTAAGTCCAGCCTAAAGATAATGAACCTTTGGAGGGAGGAGTTAGGCTTTGAAGTTGCTCAACAAATATTATGCAAATCGGTGTCCTCTTTAGCCAGCTGCGTCCTATCTGGGAACCAAGGGTAGGTGACAACAGGATGGCGTTCAATGTGGAAAAGTGCCAGGTTGGGGCATAAAAATGGGTGTCATAAGTACAGGGTAGGGGACAGCACTTGTGAAAGGGATCTCGGGGTATTGGTCAAATACAGGCGAAACATGAGTGAGCAGTGTGACACGACAGTCATCCTTGGTTACATAGCCAGAAGCATAGCTTCTAGATCGAGGGAAGTGTTACTAACGCTCTACATGACAGTTAGAACCCCGAGGGCATGGAATGGGCTTCCACGGGAGGTGGTTGAAGCCCCAATGGTGAGGGTGTTCAAGGATAGGCTGGACATGCACATGGTAGGCATGTCATGAGCGGAGCTGGCTGCAGCTGGGGGTCAGACTAGATGGCCCGGGAGACCCCTTCTAATTCACTCTGTTTCTATGTTTCTCTTCTAATCTCCACCCCTACCCTGCCAAGCCATGCAGTGCCTATCTATGATGGGTGTGAGTGTTAAAATGCTGCTTTGTGCCAAGCAGGAATTCAGCTCCTAGTTTAAGGCTTTGGTTGGGGGATTGCTTGCCCCAGTGTATGCTATCAGAGAGGAAGTCAGTGGGGTGAATGGCATGAGTCTGGGAAGAAACCCTTTCTTTCCCTCACTATAGGAAAGAGGCACAGGAAATGCTAAAAGCAAACTATCCTTCTTTTCTGCTATACAACAAAAAAGCATCATGGTTTGGGGCTAGCGACCAGCCTGAAGGCTCAAGGGGAGCATGGTAAGGGGAGTTTTCAGCGCAGTGGGAAAGGAAAAACAAGTGCTCTTTGTATTCCTGGAAGCCTCCTTCCCACACCATTTTGTCAACCTGCAACAGTAGTTTGAGGCGCCTGGACCAAACTACTTCTGTGAAAGGCTGGAATTTGGTTGTGAGAATCAGCCAACTCAATCTTTCAGAAATTCTCTGAATTTCATCCTGAAGCTCATTCCATATCAGACAGTGAGTTTTCTTCCTTTTTTCATGAAAACCCATGCATATTTTAATGTGCACGTCTTTGTAATGTATGCATCTTGCCTCCATTGATTAATGTGTATGTGTGTGCATTTTTAAAAAGGACACCTATTTAAAAGGCGCACATGCTGTTGGACACACTGCTGTTCCTTTGCAAATCACAGTGAAAGCTCAGAAATGTGCAGACTTTGACCACGGATTGTGCCTGGGTCTAAGTTTGGTTTGGAAAGTGGGAACTGGGTAAATCCTGAAAATAAGAAAACTGAAATTAATTTTTCACACATCCCTGTTGGAGCTAAACCACAATATTTTGTTATGGAGCCTCCATGTGTTTTGCTTTCTGCCACACCAGATCCAGAAAAGGGGCTATTAAACAGTGGCAATCAGCAAAAGACACTGGAATGTTTATTCCCTTTGAAAATGGGATAAAATTGTTGCCAGGTAATTGGGTCATCAACAGGTTTTTTCTCCTGGCAAATAATTTTCTCCTGTCTATACAAATAATTTTATATAGATGCAAAATATACAAAACCATACAGGATAACATAAAAACAAAGGTTGTCTCTTACCTTGGAAATTCATATTCCAGAGATTTACAAATAAAACCCAGCATTCTATAAATCTGTTTGACTATCTCTCTGCTTTTTCTCTTTTATAGTAAGCAAGCAAAATGTTAGCGAGGAAAGAATTTAATCCACTCCTGGGAGCAGGCCAGAGTGCAAGGACCTTGCCAACAGCTGTCCAAAGTTCTTCTGATCACAAAGCAGGCCGTTTGCAAATGACCGAGCTCACGAACACTCTTTCTTGCTGTCAAGACAGCTCAGCCGATTCAATAGCCCCTTTTGCATATTATATGTGAGTAGGGCTACAGCCTATCGAGGTGATATAGGAACAGACTGCTGCCCTTCTCCGAAATGGCTTGCCCCTTCTACTGTGCCTGCTTGCCCAAGCTAGATGCCATTGCTCAGGGGCGCTGAACCTCTAACAGCCCCAGGACCTAATTCCATTTTGGAGAACGGGGACTGCGTTCAGGGGCGAAATGTTAAAATCACCAGGACATTGCATCATAAAGCTTCTCCCAGCGAGCATCGAAGCCTTTGGAGAGGCAGTTCGACCTTTTCGAAAGTGGGTGGGGCCAGTGGTGGGGACATCATCTCTTGGAGAAGACCTGAATTAGGACCCTAGAATGGTTGGATTTGGCCCCTGGGCCTGTCTTTCTGCTGCCTAGGAATGGCTGAATACGTAGCTACTGAGGTGGTGTGGCCACCATGTATGTGTAGCATATATTTCACTGGGAGCAGGGCCAATAGCAGGGCTCTCTCCCTGTTTATCTGGGGTATCCCTGTACATGAAAGATGAATGCAATGGGCTGAACCCAGAGGCTTCATTGCGGCAATAGCGGTACAGGTGAGAGTAGCGTGAGTCTCAGCTAGGGTTGAAAGCATCCATGGAAGGCATTCAGTTGCTTTGGACCCAGTCTGTTTCATGTCCAAGGAAAGATACACCTTTCCGTTTAAATTAAATATTCCAACGCACAACCTTTCTTTGATTATGGCAACCAGAAAGGAAAAAGCTTACGGTTAGTCCTATGGCACGGACCTGAAATGCACAGGGCCCTCTTAGACAAACCCTCACTTTCTGCACATGTATACAGAGGCATAGACTATTTGCAAAGCGCTGCGCATGTTACCTAGCCATAATCCATCGGATGACCTTCTCAGGCAGGCCAGTGTCATCCTTTCCATATTAGGTCTGAGGCAGAGAAAGTTTATAGAAGGACAGCAGTGAGTTCAGAGGAATGTCTTGCTTCCTAGGTCAACCCCCAGCCCAAATCACTTGTTAGTACCTTTTGCAGAAGGACTATTTTATTTAAAAGGGACCAGCAAGGGATGTCCATTTGGCACCGTGAGAACGGCGCGCTTGGGAGGATGGCTCCTTGGATTCAGTGCATCCAGCCCATGTCGTGACAGAGGCGAGGGCCCTTTCTGCCTGGCAAGACGACGTGCACAGTGCGTTCTGCCTTTAATATCCCCATTGGAGCATTAGCAGAAAGAAGAGCGTCTCCTGGCTTCTCTTGCGGATGCCTCGCTCGCCACTCCTGCAGCCGCATCGTATGGGCAAAAGAAGGAGCCATGTTCCTGTTTGTGCAGACCTCTTCCTGTTACGAGTCTTTTGCCCAGGCTTTCCTCTACCCAGTGCCCAGTGGTGCTCCTTTAATTGACCCACCTGTGCACCAGCCAGTCTTGGAAGGCCATGCTTATGCCTACTTTACAGAGGAAGAAAATGAGGCTGAGGTGGAAGCAGGTGCTTCTTGTCCAGGTTGCCTAGTTTAGCTGAAAGGAGAGGCAGATTTTGCAACACCATCCCAGCCGCATGGCTTTGGGTCCCTCTCCAGTGCTCGCCACATGCATTGCGCTGGTGCTTGCTCCAACTCATCTTTTAAAAATAAGGGGCTTACTGTGCTTGAAAGGAAATGCTGCCCTTTAAATGGACAGGATGGGGATGCTTGGCAATGGGAGAGAATATTCCAGGTACACCTTGAAAAAAAAGGACCTACCAGTATCAATATCAGGACGATGAATCAGCTATTCCCCTTTAAAAATATATTGACATTAAAAATCTGTTTTCCAGGCAGTTGGGATGAAATGAGTCCCCAGGGACGGAATACCACAGTTGCTTTCTGGTCACTCGCGCAGTTGAGCCCCCCTCCCCCTTATCCAGCCCGGATTCTGCCGAAGTTCTGCCACAAACACCTGCCACACGCAGCAACACACGGTGCAGCCTGCCATCGCGGTCGACTTCCCCGGACAGCGGCTCACAAAGAAGGCGGGCATCGGCTCCCAGCCTGCTGACTCCTCGCAAGAGCAGAACCAGAACCAGAACCTCACGCCGCTTGCCGAGTGAGCAGCACGCGCAAAGAGGCAGAGGCAAAGCGCGAGAGATGGACAGCTTTATTGCCTTACCTTTCTCAAGGCTGTGATTTTCCCCCTCTAGGAGAGGAGGTTTCTGTCAGATCTGCGCCGCCATCGCCTTCCCTCCCATTCCTCTCCGCCGCCGCCGCTGCTGCTGACGCTCGGCTGGCGAAGGAGGGGGGAAAGACTGCTGTCTCAACATCTATTTTAAGCCCTGGCATGTCCAGGGGCAGATTTGTTCCCTATCAGAGATGCTGAATGGGTGAGGAGAGGAGAGGAGAGGCAGGCAGCCATCTGACGGAGGCATGTGGGCACACACACCGCAACAAGCACGCTCGCCTCTCTGCACGCGCTGCTGCTGCTGCGAACGGCGGCCCCCGGTGCCGGAGGGGGAAAGGCCCTTGGCAAAGCTTTCCTCGGATTTCTGTGGTCATTCGTGCCAATGGGCATGTGTCCACCGTCTAGAGAAGGGGTGACCAACGGAAGAGTCCCCCCGCGCCCCCCAACCAGGCAATTCCAGCCTGCAAAGCCCCGACTCAGCTAGATCTCGCTGGCTGTCCATCAAGTGGGGAAAATATTTTGCCCAGAATGGACAGAGTAAGAAAAGGGACCGGGGTAGGGACCGGGGAGGCTGCTGCTGCTCTGAATATTTGCAAGCACGATTCCAGATGCTAATGTGCTGTACCAAACCGTGCAGATTCACGGGCCAGTCAGCCATGATTTGAAGAAGCCATGAGAGATGGTAAATGTCCCTAAGGAATAGGAGCTTCTCTGCCTTGAAATCCCACCCACCATGTTGCTGGTCTCTCATGGACAGCCCTTCCTTGGGGGGGGGGTTGGGGGGATGAGGTCAAGCCCTAGCATGGCCAGGTGTCCTGCTTTACAGAGGAACGTCCTCTTGTTGGAGGGCAGCCCTCTGTATGAGGGCATCCTCTTGGAAGGGCTGTCTAGTCCAAATTCCCGGGCAAGTGTATACCCCCTCCCCAAGGTCATAAGCTGCCCTCCAGTGTTGGATGGCAGATTCAGAGATCTGGTCCCAGACCTTGCCCCTTCCTCAGATAGCCCAGAGAGAACCATTCCTGCTGCCTCCCTGAAGTCAGAAAACCAACCTTGGAGAGGAGGGAAAGGGGGAATTCTGGTCAGTGTGTGTGTGTGTGTGGGGCGGGGGGGAATGGCAGAGAGGCCCAGCCAGAATTTATCCTCAGCCTCCTCCTCCAAAATGTCCTCTGCATGGGGACAGAAAAGTTAAACTAGTAGGAGACTAGAGGACAGGGAGGCAAAGATCGCCTTTGCTGCTCCTTCCACGCTGCCACTTTCGGTTGTGGCAAAAGGGTCTTGGAAACCTCAGGTCTGGATGGCTTGTGAGCTGTGAGGCATTATTCAGAGGGCTGCATCCCAACATATTTGATTTGCATCCAACAAAAAATGGGAGCTCAAAGCAGCCAAAACTTAGATTGAGATTAAAAAGCTCGTTAAAATGACCAGCTTAAAACAGAAGAAGCCCCCAGCCCAATAGAAGCTGCTTCAGCAACAGACCAGCCTGCATGCCAAAGACCCACATGAATAAAAAGGTCTTTGCCTTCTGGCAAGAGTGGAGAAGACAGGGTCAAGGAGGTCTTTGTGTCTCCTCTCTCTGCTGCCCAGAAGTTAATGTTGATGGGCAAGTTTCGGGGCCCTGGGGCTCCCTCTTTTTAGAGTTCTTCATCTTTCAATGAGATGGAGTAGATGCCCTACAGATGTATTGGACTACAATTCCAGCATGACTATGCTGGCTGGATGATGGAAGTTGTACATCTGGAAGGCCTAGCCCAAGGTTTGACCAGCTGGGGATGCTCTGAATAGGGATAGGCACCATTATGCGCTCTCAAACAGGATGCAGCTGGCATCGCTTCAGCCCCGCCCTTCCAGCTCACACCTCTCCTGGGGAGAGCTACACATTGACGCCAGTGGTGCTTATTCTTGGGAAAGTCAGCACAAGAAAGGGCCCCATGTATTTTCAGGGATGGCATTGGCTGAAGGGGGGGGGGGTCTTGCTGCCTTGACCCCATGAGAGGTGGGAGAAGGGCAGCAAGCATACCACAGCCTCCCCTTCTGTTCCCCTCATCCCTTTCTCCTTCTCCATGATTTCCCACCATGCCCTGGGCTGAAGCAACAATCCATTGTAGGCAGTTCCATCAAAATGGCAGTGCTCAACTGCTCAGCAGTTTCAAGATGCGGCACTGCTGCTTGATATTGCAAGAGCCCACAGAAGCAGGAGGGTGCGCCGGAGGGCCCTTTGTCAGAGGCTGAACTGATGGAGAGAACCAGCCGGGCGTGCAGCTGACGTGCAGTTCAGGTGGATCCTGCCTTTTCTTTGTGGATTTGGTAAGAGTAGGAAACCATTGGTTTGGCCCTAACAATCCAATAGATAATGGTGATAAATGGTTGCTTTAAAGAAGAAACAGGGCCAAAATGGAACAGGGCCAAGATGGAAACTTTCATGACTACATGGCACAATTGAATGAGGAAGCTGTGTGGCTACAACCCAAAGAAAGTTGAAAGAAGGCAATGTACCCTAAAGAAGTGTTCTGGTGACATCATAGCCTGCCCTTTTATGCCTCCAACATTTCAGGCCTCCTGAGCTGCAACATTTTTGCTAAGAAGTCAGCTCTATACAATGTGATGGGATTTATTCCCTACATAAGGATGGGTGAAACTGTCCATTTCAGGTTTTTTTTTTCATTTTGTTTTGTTTAAATCTCAAGGTTTTTCCCTCTTGAAATTTGGTAAATTTCTTTGTGAATGTTGGTAAATTCTAATCAAAAATCAAATGAAACAAAATCCCTACCTTCCAGATTTGAAGATATATCTGTTCCCAGTGTGGAGAGGACTGTGCTGTACCTGGATATAATGTAGTTAATGAGGAATACCTCAGAAAAGAGATGCAGTGAACCTAATTCAGTGCTAACATGGTAGATTACAAAGTGATTCAATCCCAGATCTGGACATTCAAAGCACTAAACTTTACTCTGGGCGTGGATAAAGAAATCAGTTTTGGTGTCTCCTGCATCTTTTTTTTTTTTTTTTTTTTTGGTAATCTCAACTTCTTCCTGACCCTGATACAAAAAACTTTGCAAAATTTGGTCAATGCTTATCAAAAACGAACTGAACGGCTCACTCATCCTTATCTGGGGCAAGGTGTTAAAGACCACTGCCTTCAACAGGAAAGATGCTGCCTTTTTGCCCTTGTTGCTGAAAAGGCCCTCTGCTTCCTCCCAGGATGTAACTCCAGCAGGAATGGCTGGTTCCATGCCACTGGCTTTGTTACTCTTTTGCATGGCTGAGAGGAAGCCTTTCTTTGCCCTCAGATGGAGCTCACATGCTCTCCCTCCCAGTGCGCAGTGTTCACATTCAGAAAGGAATTAATCTAATCCCATCTCTCAGTTGTAAACCTGAGCCGAAAGCTAAGAAGCTTTGAGAAATGACTGTCAGGCTAATTTAATCTTATTTTTTGACTAGGTAACCTCCCAAATGGACAGAGGGGACACTGTGGACATAATCTACCTAGACTTTAGCAAAGCTTTTGACATAGCGTCACATGACATTCTGATAAGCAAATTAGCAAAAAGTGGACAAGATGGAAAAATTATCCAAAATTGGCTGCTGAATCAGACACAAAGAGTGCTCATCAATGGCACCTTCTCACATTGGATGGAGGTAACTAGTGGGGTGCCACAGAGTTCAGGATGTGAAGAGAGTGTACCATATTTATTTATTTCATTCTACTTTCATGCTACCCCATAATGGAATCCTGGCCAAACATACAGGAGAACCCTGAATATTTGAAGCTGTGCTTGTAAGCAAAAATGGCAAACTGGTCATTGTAATTTGAATTTCAAAGTTAGACAAACACTTCCAATAACAATTGACAGATCTGGAATAGGTGAAGTAATGATAAAGGAGATCAACTCTTTGAGAATGTGCAGAGTGCATTTGCGTGGCCCCATAGATGCTTCAGTTTTTCTTCAGAGAGCTTGGATTGAGGAGGAAGACTTCCCAGGAAGTTGAGGGAAGTCCTCAACTTCTTCTTGAGGAAGTTGAAAGGCTTCAACTTTGGCAGCCTTTCACAACTTCACAGAGAAATCTTATGCCTGTTTCCTCAGAATTAAGTCCCACTGTGTTCAGCGGAGCTTATTCCTAGATAATTGTGCATCACAGGCCCTTGTGTACCAGAGCCGGGGCTCACAGAGACAAGCCCTGTCTCTTTTCGGTTAGAGCCAGGGTGTCACATGCCACCCTCTCAGAATTTTCTGTTCCCTCTGAATTTAGCTGGAAGTCTCAGGGTGTTCGTGGCAGAAGAGGATTTTCTCAGCAACCAGAAATAGCTGTGAGCTATTATTACTGTAATGTAAAGTATTCTGGGGTGGCTTTCTTCTAAATGGGCAGTTAGGGTGTGACGCTAGGAGCATTGCCTAAATATGGGACTCTGCCTAATTATGCATAGGATTGTGCCCTAAGGCTTGTTCACTTTACTGGAGACTGTGAGAAGGAAAGCCGCTAGCAGTGGCTTGTTCGCATAGGTCACCACAGCTGCCTGCACTGGGCAGTCCTGACAGTCTTGCATATACCTGGCACTTTATCTGCAAAAGAGCACTGAGTGCCTGCCCTGCAAAAGGCACCACTGTCGCTGCATCAAAATTGTTGCTCTCAGTTTTCAGCACCAGCAAATCTCGCATTTCACTGCAGCCCATCCAAACACACAGCATAATGAAGACCGCCACACCAAACACAAAAGGTCTCACACAAGGAGAATCCCAACAATGTGCTACCTCGTCTGTGGACAAAGCAGCTATTTTGATTTGGATTTTCTTTACTCATTTTAAAGGAACCAAGCCCCAGCACAAAATAGTGTCGCCGTTTGGCAGGAATGACATGCTCTTTGCCAGTTCACAGAATTGTGGGAGCTATTAAAGAGAGAAAGAAGGAATCCCAAAGAAGTAACACTGAAGAAACAACTGATGTTGCATCAGGAAAGCAATTCTAGCAGAATGAAGACCATTTTCCCAAGGCTGGGGAGAGAGACAACGCAGAGTTCTTAGTTTTCATGTAATGCCAGACAAACCACGGCCAAGGGATCTGTGGTTTGTTTAGCTGTTCCCACAGCTGTGGGGTTAGTCAGTGTCAGGACACCTTGATGGCA